GCTTCCAAGGGACCACTTTTGGCCCTGTAAGCAGCCCCCAACTCACCGGGCTCGGCGGCGGCGGCGACGGCGGCGGTGGGGGATTCGGTGGCGGGCTCTGCAGCAGGAGGGAGGGGGTGCAGCGCCACCCAAATGCGAGTCTCAAGTCTCGGCGCCGCCGTCGCCCAGGCAGCGACAAAAATTGCGGTCCTGGCGAGAGGCAGACGACTCTTTTTAAGCAAGCTCGGGGCTCACCGGCGGCGGGGGCGAGGGCGGCGGCGGGGAGGGTGGCGGCGGCGGGGCCGGGGGCTTGTAGTCGATGAGGACGCAGCTGCCGTCCCAATTGAACGTGTAGCCTGCGCGGCCGGATTTTGAGAGGTCCGGGGCGTGGGAGATGCTGCAGGCTGCTGCGTGGCTTTATGCAAGCCACCCACGCGGCACCAGGGCTGAGGCCGACGTCCTGGCACTTTCTCATGCATAACTCATGCATAGCTCGTGCGCCCGTCTTCCGGCCGAAGGATTGCGTAATGAGTGTTGTGAAGTGTAGGGCTTGCAAGTCTGCCATCTCCAGGGCCGCCCCAGTCTGCTCTCTGCAGCCCCCAGATGCCCACCCGATTCTGTCCTCCCACCAGCCCCTCCCCTCCGCACCCTGCCCGCAGTTGATGACGTCATTTGAGCACACCGCCCAGGGGTAGTCATCCCAGTCATAGAACCGCATGCTGCAGCCGTACTGCTGCCCCGTGGTGGTGTCGATGCAGTACGGGTCATAGCAGCAGTCGAGCTTCATGCAGGGCACAGTGTAGGGCGGCGGCGAGGTGGGGATGACCCACTGCTCGCAGTACGTGAAATTCGTGTCAGACGACAGGTTACGGCACTCGTTCGTCACTGAGTGGCGGGGGTGAGCGGCAGGCAACGGGAGTCGGGGCAGCGTGAGCGTAGTGACGCGCCCTGCAACTTTGCTCTTTCATGCAATGAAACCCGTCAGCCTTCCTGGTCCGGTCTCTCCCCTCTGCCCTCCTTGGCCCCGCCCCCCGCCGGAGAAAGCCGCACAAGGTATCCAGCGTGCCCATAATGCATGCTGCTGCTGCTGCTGCTGCTGCTGCTGCTGCTGCTGCTGCTGCTGCTGCTGCTGCTGCTGCTGCTGCTGCTGCTGCGGCTGCTGCTGCTGCGGCGGCGGCGGCGGCTGCTGCCACTGTTTATGCTGGCGCCACGGTCACCACCCTTGCTGCAGTTTTGCCACCACCTCTGCAGCTCTGCCGCTGCTCCCTGCCAGCGTCAGTGTCACCAACGCTGCCGCCATGACCTCGACCTTCAGCTACCGCACGTGCTCTTTCTCTTGCTGCTGCTGCTGCTGCTGCTGCTGCTGCTGCCGCTGCTGCTGCTGCTGCTGCTGCTGCTGCTGCTGTCGTCATCATTACTTGTCATCGCCGGCCACGCCACCGCCACCACCCCCGCCACTGCCGGCCCAGCCAGTGCCCTCGCCACGTCCGCCGGCTTCCCTTAAAGTTCCCATCCTCATGCTGTTTGGCCGCCCTCACCTGGACCGCTCTGAGGGCACTTCGTGCTGTTCATGATCGATGTGTTGAAGCTCGTGGGCATGGTGCCCACCAGACCACAATAATCTGCGGCGCGCACAGCCACACGGGGGCGTGAACACGCAGTGAGCAGGACGGACCAAGGGAAGGTGGCCGCGCGCGACTGGATGATGGCTGGGACTGCATTGCGTCCTCACATGACCCACGAGTGTGGCTGTGATGTTGGATGCGAATAAATTACAAAGGTCGAAAGGCCTGTCATCCCTCCAGGCGAGCAAACCAGTTTTCACCCCCCCAGGCGCCCTGGCCCCCCACTTACTGCCGACCACGGCCTTGCTGGTGTAGAAGCAGTAGGCCCGCATGTCCCTCTGCGACGCGGGCCGCGCGTTGTAGTGGCACATGTACGCGCTGGCAGCCACCACCGCCGCGGCCGCCTGCAGGGCACACACGCGTTGGCGCGTCAAAGTGAGGTTTGCAGGTTTTGCAGCAAGTTTGTAGGTTCGAAACCATGCGTGACAGGTGGGTGCAGCCTCTACAAGGAGGTAAGCACGATTGAACCACAGCGCATTTTGCTGAGGCGCAGGACGGTCGGCGCGGAGGAGCACGGCGTGGTGGCAACAGCGCCGGCAGCGCACCAGCAGCGACAGGAGGCATGGCGCTGCGGCTGCACGACGGCGGCGCGCCATGCCGTCGCGTGGCTGCCTGATACGACTGCGTTGTTGGATGTTTTCTCGAATACAAGCGGGAGTATTGTTTCAGAACGCCTTCACCGCGGATCCGGTGTGCTGGAGGTCGGTGTTCCGGCAGAGTCGATTCTGCGTTTGTGAACGGTGAGTCACTCTCATGTCGTCGTTTGATAACGTTTTAAACTGATCTGAACGTACCTTGTGCCCTCTGGCAGCTTCCTCGACGCACCCCAGGCAAAATGCAAATTCCGCGACCTTTCATCTCTGGCAGCCTGTTGCGCTCCTTGGTGCGTGAGATAGTATAAATAGTCGAGCAGGTCAGTATTTCACCACCCGTGCTGCTTCCCATGGGCCAGGGAGCTAGCTTGCATTCTCACCCGCCGCTGTGGCTCTCGTGGCAACAAGCACATGCTTGGACACCTTGCGCGGCGCACGCGAACCGTTGGCTTGAATTCTGAGAGGGCACCCGCCCGGTGGTTGCATCCAGGGCGCGCCTGCACCTGACGCACGTGCACCAGGGCGTCGCGTGCTCGGCTGGACCCTCGTGTTGTGGACGGAGCCTCCGTGCAGCCACTGCCCTAGCCGCATGCTGGTGCCCAATTCATGCTGTGCATGTCCATCTAACGCTTGAGATGTGTGGTGAGGTACCGAATACGAATGCGTCGGCAGGCACGGCCGGAAGCTTGACATGTCCCTGACCACCAATTAAGATGCGTCAACAGTGCTGCACAACCCCTTGAACGGACTGCACAACGAAGGGAATCTTGCCACATGGTGGACGGGCCACAGCAGGCACAGTCCATCTACCATCATCAACAGATGGGGTTGTTGGGGGATGTTTTGGCGCATCGCATCGCAAACGCGGGCACAAGCGCCAAAAGGTTCCGGCCATTGGAAATCATGGTGGCTGTGTGCCACGCAGGGACGGCACTGGAGAGCATCACACGTTGTATGCCGCTGGCCCCTTCGGGTTTGGACTGCACAGCATCGTGTGCCGTTTGCCACTGGCCCCATCTGGCCCAGTGGCTTATGGCACATGATGCTCTGCAGTCCAAACCCGATTGTACCCAGCATATCACTATCCAATGACGCGCTGGTTTACATCACATAGGTGTCTAGGGCTGCTGTTGAGCCTCTGCCAGCTGCTGTGATCTGCAGTACCCGACAGGCCACAGAGCCATGCTTGCCGGGACCATGTGAGAGTCCTGCTCACCTATGCTGTGCGCAACATGACAACCCGTTTCTAGAACCTCAGCTGCACCAGATTTCGCCAGCCTGCTGCGCTGTCCTGCGGCTGCAATGGCCAAGCAGGCTGCACAAGCCCTGCCAGTGGTGGCAGTCAAGGCGTGGATGACCCGCTGGACTTGTCCTCCGTCACAGCTGTGCGCCTCGCCCGTGCAGCGGCTTCCGTTCAGCGTTTACACCAATCGGCGGGCGCGCCTCGGGAACGATCGCTCAGGGCAGCGGCAATATCGCTCTCTCAACACGGTGGCACTCAGGTGCGCATACCCCTGCAATAGGCGGACGGCCCCTCTGCCGACGCACCCATGTGTATGTGATTGTCAGATCTTCTGATGGAAAAATGCGCTGTGCAGAGCGCCAGACGCGGCGCTCAGCATCGGCGCGTGTGCGGCTGCATGCACGGCTGCTTGGGGGGAGGAGAGGAGGCAAGCTCCAGGGAGCTACACAGAAAGCGAGAGAAGAATGAACGCACCGCACGGGGCGGGGCGAGCTCCAGCACACAACACACACAGCCTAAATCTTGTGCCGCCCGCAGCCCCGCGCCGCGCCGAGGGCCGCCCTGCGACCGCGAGGGCCGTCCAAGGCCGGAGCGAGCATGCAGGGGCGACGCCCCCGCAGCCCCGGCCACGGCCCTGCGTTCTCAAGGTGCGACCCCTAGGTGTGACCCCTAGATCCAATGGCGCCCCCAGTGGCTGGGGGCACTCAGGCGCGGCTGCGAGGACGCGCCGCAGCTGCGGCGGGCCGTCACGAGGCTTGATTGGGAGGTCAGCGCCCCCGCTCTAGGCGGCGGCCACGCGCTCCTCGTTGGCCTTGGAGCCGAAGCTGACGTCGACGCTGTTGCTGTCCTTGCTGCGCAGGGCGTTGGCGCGCACAATGCTGGTGACGGTGCGGACCTGGGGTCGGGGGCGTGGGCCGGGCACGGGGGCGGAGCGGATTTTTAGCAGGGTTGGCGTCGGTCGCCGATATTTACGGATGCGAACATCAGTGGGCGCCGTCCCGGGCAAGCAGCCGAGGCAGCAGCTTCCCAGCTCCAACTGAGCGAAGCTCGGCTCGCGTTCCGATCCCCCCGCGCGCAGAGGCGGCCACACTGAAGCAGCCCCACTTCCCACAACCGCACCCAGCCGGACCCCCTCCCCCCCAGACCCCGCCCACCAGCAGCTTGACGTCGTCCAGGGGGTTGCCGGGCACCACGGTCTTGTAGAGGTAGGAGTCGAAGGTCATCTTCTGGACGTAGCCGTCGTCGCAGAGCTCCACAAAGGCCTCGCGGGCGGGGTTGCTGCGGTAGAAGACCTTCTGCAGGATGTCCAGCACCTTGTAGGTGGCCCAGTACTTGCGGTCCCACCTGGGGGTGGTTTTTTTGGGGGGGGAGCAGATGTTGATCAGCCGGGTGGGATAATTGAGGCGCGGGCAGGCGCGGAGTGGGAAGACTGAGGGCAGGGGGACTGGTGGATGGGCTGGGCCGCAGCCGCGGCCAGGGCGTTCAGCCCACAAGCTTCATGTGAAATGGGGAACCCGGGACAGGCCAGCCACCCACAAACACAAGCAGCACACCCTGGTCCCCCAGCCGAACACCCACCCGACCGTGGCGCCCTCAGATAAGATAATATTTGTCAAAGTTTCAGATAACCATCCAATCAAATATCAATTGAAAACCCGCCCCCTCACTTGTCGAGGTAGTTGCGCAGCGCGCCCTCGCCGCACATCTTCTTGCCGCCCTCGCTGGCCTCCACGATGGCCTCCGCCGCCATGCGGCCGCTCTTGGCCGCAAAGTAGATGCCCTCGCCGCTGCACTTGGTCACGTAGCCGGCCGCGTCGCCGACCAGGCCCACCCGGCCCTTGATGCGGCGCGGGCGGGGGTGCTCGGGGATGGGGTGGGCCTCCACGCGGATGATCTTGCCGCCCTCGGTCTTCACCTT